TCTATATATTTTTAGTTGTCCAGCTAATTTCTTTCTATTTTTAGTAGAGACGGGGTCTCACTCTTGCTCAGGCTGGTCTTGAACTCGTGACCTTTAGCGATCCTCCTGCCTCAGCCTCCCAGAGTGCTAGGATTACAGGTGTGAGCCCCCATGCCCGGCCTTTTCATGAATTCTTAAACCAATTTGAATATTCTATCAAATACCATGTCAAAAAGTCAAATGTAGATTATCTGAAACAAACCTGTGTAACTTTCATCATCATCAGACAAAGGCACCTCTCTTTTTAGTAGCAACTCCAACTCTTCTGTTTCTGCTACATCCACTGGACGCTCCCCATGTTTATTAGCTTGAAATGGATTTCCACCATGACGAAGTAAGAGTTTCACTATCTGTAATATTAAATAGTAGGAAGATTTAGTCCCTTCACAAATTTTATCATTTTGACCATTCTCTTGATAATATCCCTAATATCTTTCTGTTATCTCAACTACTCTGCATCCATTCCTCAGTGTCTATTCTAAATCATTATTATTCTCTTCAAATTCCCTTTTCACTGAAATCCTGACCCCCAATCTGATGACCTTATCAACCATAAAGAAATTTCTTCCTTAAAATTTACACTGGTCTATTTTAGCACTTGATCTCATTGTTTTTCTTCCTGTTTCATCACAGAATCAACAATTATTTATTGAGTACCTATTAATAAGTACTGCTCCAAGTTCTGCTGATAAATCAATGAACAATAACAACAAGCTCTCTGGCCTCTTAAAATTTATATTCTAGAAGGAATCTCAAAGGACATACTTCCCTCCTGCTTAAGGCTAATATCTCACTACAAAATGCTCTTAATCTTACTCTTTCCCATCTCCCAGGAATTTTAACTATCATTAACTCATGTCAATTTACTTAGAACTAATGAAGCTTAGCGTCAAGTGCACTTGCTAATGCCTATAATCCCAGCACCTTGTGAGGCCGAGCTGAGAGGATTGCCTGAGTCCAGGAGTTTGAGACCAGCCTGGGCAACATAGCAAGACCCCGTATCTAAAAACAAAAAGTGAAAAAAAAAAATCAAGAACTAACAAAGCTTAAACTTCAATGCCCTTCACTTTCAAGTGCCCCTTATAGGTCTCTATCTAATTTTGTATTCATGATGTTGAAATCATTCCTTACCCACAAAATTATTTTTTTTTTTTTTGAGACAGGGTCGTGCTCTATTGTCCAGGCTAGAGTGCAGTGGCATCATCATAGCGCACTGTAACTTTGAACTCCTGGGCTCAAGCGATCCTCTGACCTCAGCCTCCTGAGTAGCTGGGACTACAGGTGCACAGCACCACACCAAGTTGATTTTTATAAATTTTTGTAGAGAAGGGGGTCTCGCTATGTTGCCCAGGCTGGTCTTGAACACCCAGCCTCAAGTGATCCTCCTGCTTCTGCCTCCCGAAGTGCTGGGATTACAGGCATGAACCATCACTCCGTCTCCCCACCAAATACAATCATATAAGCTTCAGGCTCCACATAATCACGACCAGTGAGTCACCATTTCATTGCTTTTATTTTTCCTTATCTTTTTCCTTTCTATATTTTTTAAGCTCTTTTTGATCGGCTCCTTTCTAGAAACCAATCTTTCCAGTTCATGTCTTTTACCTTAAAAAATGGCAATAAAGAAATGAAATACAGGCAAAACAAGAAATTTTGTTTAAACATACATCCCCATCCCCTAGCTAAATTTTTTTCACAAGTCAAGCTTCTGAAAAGGTGTTTGCCCTGGCAACCATGACTTCTGACACTTCATTCTTCTACCTGCAACTCTGCTACCATCAATCCTACAAAATCGCTCTTCTAAGAGCTGTACATATCTAAACCAATGATAGTTTCCCTACAGCAGTGTTCTTGATCTACCTTCTCATGCTCAAGTATGCATCATCTCTTTGGAGTAAACATGCTGTCTGAATTGACAATCATGCAACCCATTCATTCATTTTTACTCTCTTGCTTGCTCTCTCAGCTCTCAAGCTCCAAATCCAAATATTCATATACTCAATGGATACATCCAACTGATTATATATATATTGTAACACAAAAGCCTAAAACCAACAGGACACAAATAGAGTTCATTAAACTTGTATCCTGACCTTTCATCTGTTTCCATTCTCAGTGACTGGCACCAAAATCTGCCTAATCACTGAAGCCAGAAACCTGGGAGTCAACAACAACTCTTCTTTCTCATTCATACTCTACACCAAAGAGGTGGCGCCAAGCATTATTGATTCTGCCTCCCTACCATGTCCTCTTCTTGTTTTTGATCTTCTGTTTATTTCCAATGACACTGATGTGTGCTATCAGACATAAACCTATACTACAATTTGTTAATGCATTTCCTCCCTTATTCTAGACTACAAGCTTCATACAGGATCAAGTCTTTATTCATCTCTATATTCCCAACACATAACTTCATTTTCTGGTACTTAGAAAATGTATCATGTCTTTTTAAAGAATGTTTAAATGAGTAACATGAAACAGATGAATAGTAACTGCATTTGCCATTAGAGGTAAATGCACTTAAAATAGGAATTGCTAACCAATCAAAGTATTTAAGAATGAAGATTCGCAATGAAAAATTTTTCTAGATTATAGAAAACTTGAAATTCAAGAATGTATAAAGAAAACAATTTACCCATGATCCCAACTATTATTATTTTATTCCCTTGTTGATTTTTATCAAATTTTATAAGCTTATAATTTTAAAAGATCAACTAGCTTTCCAAGTCTGCTGATGAAGAACAATCATCCCTAACACCTATCTCTATATCTCAGTCATCCACCGGGGGGGAGGAGGAGGTGAAATTATTGGGCTGGGAATCACTGGGCTTGGGAAGGGGATATGAGGGGCCAAAAATACTTTTATCCAATCCCCTATTTCCAGTCCTGTTTGGGTTTTATTTTGAGACAGGGTTTTGCTCTGTTGACCACGCTGGAGTGCAGTGCTGAGGATTATAACTCACTGAAGCCTCCAACTTCTGGGCTCAAGGGATTCTCCTGCCACAGCCTCCCGAGTAACTGGAACTACAGGCATAAGCCACCACTCCTGGCTTTTTTAAAAAATTTTTTGTAGAGATGGGGTCTCACTATATTGCCCAGGCTAGTTTTGAACCTTTGGCCTCAAGAGAACCTCCAGTCTTGGCCTCCCAAAGTCCTGGGATTACAGGTATGAGCCACTGCACAGCCTCCAGTCCTATTTTAATGAGCACTTCCAGAGGTAACTGGTGCCATCAATTCCTGAGCTTTAGCTCTTCTAGAATTCTGTGCTGTAAGGGTTTTGGTTTCAATTTTCTTGTTTCTCTAAATCAGAGGTGGGCAAATTAATGGCCTGTGGACCAAATCTGGTCTGCCAACTAAGAACAGTTTTTATATTTTTAAAGGATTGTTAAAGGAGAAGGAAGAGAGAAGAGGGGGAGGAAGAGGAAGCAGCATGTGGCCTGCAAAGCCTAAAATATTTACTATTTAGCGCTTTATAGAAAACCCTGTTCTAGGTCAGTAGCTGCTCATTCCTTTAATTTCCACCTTCCAAAATAATAGTTTTCTGTTTCTTCTGTTCTTTGTCTTTGTGGGTCTATATCCTTTAAAATTTCCCCTTACTGTCATTTATGGGGTTTGAGAAGGTAACTGAAGCAAAAAAGTTTTTAGTCATTATAAATAATACTGTAGTAAAAATCTTTATGAGTTGAATTTTTCCATTTTTGGGCTTATTTCCTTAGACTAGAGCCTTAGAATGAGAAAACAGAATAAAGGATCTTGATATTGCTGAAAGCTTTCTACACCCATCAGCAAGTCATTAATTAATATTACATGCCTATGAGTCAGGTACAGTTGGTTCATTCAAACACATTACAGAAACTCTATAACAAATAACATTTTATAGACCATCTGCATATGCAAACAATTATTCTCAAAGAGATTTAAGGCAACTTAAAGTTGCTTAAAACATAACAGGCAAAAAATTACAACTAGGTAAAAATGATGAGACAAAAAGTTACCTAAAATAGAATTGGGAATAAGGCTAGTATAAACGTGTGTATTATGAACTACTATACATTTGCAAATGGTGGGTCCAAAATTAGGTTCTTAATAAGCTATGTTAATCCTCTCTTACTCTAAATAATTTAGAGCTGACAGATCTGTTACCTTTCTGCTTCTCCCACCTTAGAAATGCTTTACAGATAGTTGAAGCTGTCATAACTATTACTAAGAGAAAGAAATCCTGGTAGAGGCTCATAATACACAGAACAGATACATAAAAATGAGTTTTTGGTATCTCTCATTTCCCTCCTCCTTAGGCACAAGTAAAAGAACAAGGACAAAATAGCTCTCAACAGCTCTTCAATTGTGACTCCTACTATCCTAGGCATGTTAGTAGGAGGAAAAGCAAAGGTCCCTTGAAAATAGCATGCCAGTCTCCCTCTGGAAAGAGACTGGAAATAGTGTGAGTCCTTGTAAATGCATGAGCTCAAAGGTCAGGTTCTAGAAATATTTTGCAGTTATATGTATTTAGAAACTTGTACTCATAGAAATCATGTCTTAGTCACAGGTATAATTCTTTAAATTGTACTGAGAAATGAGGAAACCTTTAGGTATCACATTTAAAGGAAAATTATTCATCTTTGGTAAACTGTCAATGATTATGCTTTAAAAAGGGCAAAAAGTACAGTATTTAAAATATCCTATCATAGCCAGAAAATAAATCAATTTCTGATAAATTCAGACAAACGGGCAAAATACCCTATATATTGCCAGGCCTTATGGATTAAGTTTTTGGCATTCATCCTTGGTCAGCCATTCATCCGTCCATCTACTTACAGATACATTCATGCTAAATTTATTGAGCATTTCGTATATGACAAGCAGTTCCAGAGTCAGTAATAGAAAACAACACAAAATGTCTGTATGCACGGTTTCTGCAGTCTAGTGCAGGAAAAATGACACGAGACAAGAACATCAGTAAAAAATAACAGTATGTGCTATCACATAGGTTTGTACAAACTGCCAACCAAGCAAAAAGGACAGGCCAATGGTAAGCAAGGACCAGTTTAGGAAAATTGATATTTACAGGCTACATTTTTCTTCACTCAAAATGAAACTCTTTATTGAGAAACACAGAAAAATAGAAAAATGTTTAATTGAGAAAGACAGCATTTTTAATTTCTAAATTTTAGTTGTAAAATATTTTGGTATATTTAAAATATAGCAACATAAAGGCAGGTTTTAAATCTTTTAACCCAGTCTTTTACCCCTGACATTTCTATAACATTTTAGATTTCAATATGTGTTTACATGCAGTCTTTCCTTCGAAATGTCCCCTTTTGATAGGTATTATTTATTATATAAAGATGAG